CCTTCTGTCATGGGCTATTCACATTTCCTATATCCTCGTATCACGCCTTTACTATCACAATTTTTTCCTTGCTTATTTAAATCTAGTGTGATGTGTCTTTTTGATCGGCTTTCATGAGAACCCTCCACACTCCACGCTCGCGTTTTTGCCCCTATTCACCTTTGTGCTAGGAATGTTGATCAGCGTCAGCCAGAGTCCTCTAAGTCTTCCTACCAATATGACCAATTTGCCAAAACATGGTCAAAAAACTTCTTAGTTGAGAATGTTTGTTGGGAGGGAAGGCAATATGAAATTAAATGGCGTTGCGAAAACTACTCATAGCTCGAAATTCAACTATCAGCTCTTACTTAGATCGTAGATATGAAGGCCAGGATGGCGTGGCCTTCTGTTTGGCCGTAGTCTCCCTTAACTTTATAATGTTAGTTCAATTTTGTTATCGCAAATTGGTCGAAGCGTCAGGGAGACCTTGTGGAACGTACCTATTCCCATGTCCTCTTCCACAGTATTCGTTACTTCCAGCATTGGATAAATGACTTTGTACACTCCTAAACCTTTTGCCGGTATCATAGTCAGCATCGTCAGTGAGAGGCATCATCATAAGTACAGAGTTACAACATATCAAAGTGACCAATTTTTTCTTCCACCGTTTTCCAACACTATCATCCTTTACATCAGCTTAAATTTCTTAAGGTTACTCGATTTGTATTCATTGCATACTTTTTTTCATTCTTTCGGCTATTCTTTCGACTTTCTATTCTTTCTCCCTCACATCATCTTCTTAACTTTATTACTCTGCCTCGGGGGGATAGTTCCCTTGTCGACTGCAATTCTGGGACCCGCTTTGTGGCAGAGCTGGCAAGTTTGTCACCTATGCATCTAATTTCTACCTATCCGATCTTCGTCCTACCGATGTCGTCTTCTCAAGCTGTCAGAAAGACACCAAGGCTGATAAGTCCGTTCCTTGTAACGATGAGGATGACTTTGTCACCGAGGATGATGCCTATAGAGCCGATGCTGACGCTCTTCACCTGGCAAGATCTATCGGTTGTCTTCCATCCTCATTCGAAGCCGTTGTGAAACGTGCCCTTGGATCAGTTGCCTGTCTATCTGCTCCATTTCCTCGGACCGAACCACCAACTAAGATACCGTCATCATCATCTGCAAAAGTTACGCCACGACCGTCAAAAACATGCCATCCAATTTGTTCAGGCTCCTCAGACGTCAAATTTATGGCTGATCGTATCGATGTACTGGATGAAGGAGCTGCTTCAGGAGGAGAGAATGAAGCTGTAGCTATAGAGAAACCGACCAAACCAGGTCGACTGGTAGCCAAGGGCACGGGGCTTCTTCTCGATCGGATAAAGGGTAGTCTCTTAGCCCACAGCGCCGTCCATTCAAAGGATTCTGCTTATCGCTGTCAAACTAGACTTAAAAAGGAGCAAATCTCTTTAGTGCCTGTGTTCAGCCGACGAGCTAATTTTTTTGGTAGAGCCAATCTTGCTGATCCTGACGATGACACTGAAGAAGCTGTTTTGGCTGAAGTATGGCGCATCTTGATAGACTTTAGAACTATCCAAAATTGTCAAATGAATCCAGTGCTGGGCACATTTGACTACGCCTCCAAACTTGGACTAAAGTAAGTCTTCGTCTCCAAAGTCGATTGCTAGTACGTTCTTATCAACCAGCGTATAAATGACTCAGATTGGTAAATTATTCCATAGAGTATTTTTATATCTTACAAATGTTGCTTAAACTAATCTTATACGCCTCATTATAACATGAACCTTAGAGAAGTTGTGCGAACCTATGTACTGAGACAAGAATTGTCTCTGACGGATTGCTCTACCCCCTAATACCGCATCTCTTACTCTTAACCCCACTTCACATCACCCATCTATTTATTCACACAATTCTGTGCTCTCGTTTCATCTACTGTCGCCTAAGAGTTTGCGCTACAAATGGGTTTTGTGAAGAGTAATAATCTCCATCACCGGTACCAGATGCCATTTGCAGGGCTCCTGGCCTACATTTTGCCCCTCCTTTTTTCATACCCGCTTGTCAATCGGCCGGTGACAACAAAACCAAGTTGCGACAACGAGGTCAACCTACTTCTATAAATAGAAAGGAGACTGCGACCACACCAGAGGCCACAACATCTTGGTCTTCCTATCTTCTATCAAAATCTCTGTTTGGCTGTCTGAAATCTGGCTGCATAAGAGCCTTTCTTTCCTATCCTCGATTACGCCATATTCGATGAATTAGAGCAGATGATGCACATGCCAGTGTCTGGGAATCTTCGTCTCCTTAGGCCTTAAATCCGTGACTCAATTATCCTCTCCCTCATCCCCACCCACATTGTGTCTCATTCTTTGGGGCCCTATGTCCGGCTTAAGCCGTAACCGCTGGTATGAGAATGCATTGCTTCCCTTTTTTTCCTTGAATCCATAAAAACACATTCCTCTCGTCTCTAAAGTTGACATTCCCATCTAAGCCTGGGGTACTAAGATGATGTCCCTATGTGTGTGTTAGTTGGTATCTCCTGCGGTCAAGCCTGTCATCAGTCACCTCCCCTTCTGACGAAGATACGAAAATTACACGCGACACACGTGGGTAACCTCTAACTAGCCCACCTATACCTTTGGTCTTTCATTTCATATCCTACATTTCGCAGGTGGACCCATGAGTAAATTTTTTTCTGGTAAATTCCATGTCCGATTCCTCTCACTGCAGTCGCTTTTCCTGACTTCCTTTTATTTCGCATAAGCCGCTCCTTGGTGATGTCTTTTCCTATTGTTAAACAGTTGTCCCGAGTCCAAGCGTATTCGTTGAGTCTCCAAGTATATTTGAGCGGTACGCGAAATTATCGCTGACTTTCTCCTCTTCCATTATCTTGTTCACCAGGTTTCTTTAAAAGAAAATGCCCACATCCTCCCTGATCTTCCTTTTCCTAGTGTTTTCCCAACATGAGGCCAGTCTTTCGTTTGCATTTCAGTCAATTGTGTGGCCGGTAAGGGCGATGTTTTCAACTATCTTCGATCTTTCTGGATCATTTTTTCTGCATAGTCGCTGGTGTTCTTTTATCCTTATGCTGATTGTCCTTCTCGTCTCCTATGTATTTTTGTTCACAGTTCTTACAGTTTGTGCTGTAAACTCCGGAGCGTTCCATATTGTTAAATTCTTCATGTTGTGGGAACAAGCTTGGTTCTACGAATGTTCTATTTCCCTATTTTCGGACCTAGCTTCCGAGCCAATTTTCAGGAGGATAGACATACCCATCGTTTTTACTCTCTTCCTCTTGCTTTCCTTTTATAATATCTGTCCTTCCATCTGTTCATTACTATCCGTATGGGACGTTGTATATTTTCTTCTGGATATCCGTTCCCAAGAAATATCTGAGTTAGTTTTCCCAGTTCTTCTTCCTAGAACTCAGAATCAGTCAGCCGTAAGCTTCTTATGATCACACGCTGGAGTATTCCAATCTTCAGCCCATAAGTATGATTCGACTGGAAGCTAAGAGTTATTCCAGCATGCGATTTAGAAAAGTCCTTTCTTGAGAGTTTCCTCGAAGCGAATGACCTTCACATCC